TTGTCAACACTTGTTTTTGCTTTTACGCAGTTGACTTGAGGGGCCGTGGAAGTTTGTGTTTAAAGCATCATCTATTCTTTGTACAGATAAGAGAAACTATCATTGAATCTGGTCCCGCTTTTACTTCTCTCTTCCGTGTCCACTCTTCCTTTCTTTTGGAGAGATTGATAATGAGTCACGATCAAGAATCCGTCTTTCAGTTTCGGGATTAACAAGCTTCTCTTTTACGGTTGAGAAAGACGCTGCCATAATTGTCGTAGTTGGTACTCTGTGTGTGTGTGTGTGAGAGAGAGAGAGAGAGAGAGGGATGGATGGAAAATAGCAGGAAGGAGAAGAAGAAGATTTTCTGATCGGTACCCTGTTTCTTCCTAGGTTGGTAATGGTTCGTCTATTTCCTCACTTCCACTCATTTTCTTGCTTCATTCTATTTCCTTCTCTCTCTTTATATCTATATATATTTAAAGAAATGATTTTGAGTTTGATCTGATCTGTGTTTAATCAAATGGGTTTTACACAAATTCTGTACAGAAGGTAGAATTAATATGCCATTATATTATGTATACTTCTTAATTCCCTTCTTTCTTTGCTTGCTAAATCATGGCTTAAAACTTCGTGGGTTTAGTTTCAAGATTGTATAAAAAACCCTTTTTTCAAACATTTATTTGCCCAAATGTGTTGGGACTTAGGTGATTTTCATGAATTCCATTACATTATATGTCGATTTTAGCAATGACATTCTTGTCGAAGCTAGCTATCCGTTTATGACAATTTTACACAGTGCAAGGCTTTGGTTAAAAAGAGTGAATCCATCATCCAGGTCTAGGCTTCGATTATAAGATATCTTGGCAATTGGTTTGATTCAGTTCTGTTAATTCAATTCAAAGATTTCTTTATTTTTCGACTTTGTCTTAGTTGTCTATTGCAAGAGGACTAAGGAAAACATGAAAAATCTTCCTAGTTTAAGTTACAATAGAAAAACTGTTAGAATCACTAAAGATTCATGTCCTTTATACATTCTTAATGCATAATTGATTTGTGCAACAGGTTTTGTCATTTAAACAACATTGGGCTTATTGGATATCTTGTTCCTACATATCTTCTCTTCGTTTCCGTGGCCTCTAGTAAGTTACAGGTAGAGCTCAAAAAGGTTGATCTTTGATGATTCGATAAGCCAAATGTCAGGTGAACCATGAGTACTCAACCAACCACAAAAGTCCGACTAGTTAGATGTCCTAGATGCCGACAGGTTCTTGCAGAGTTGCCGGATGTTTCTCTGTACAAGTGTGGAGGATGTGGTACAATTCTCCAAGGTACTAACTTTTTTCAGTTTTACTAATCACATATTTATAGTATGATATTGTTTCTTTAAATTTATTTGAAGCTAAGTATAATATCTCGTGGGATGATTAGCATGTCATTTAAAGATTGAAAATAAGTTAAAAAGTGTAGCTCCCCTGAAAATGATCTATATTGCGATGCTGATACTTGGCATGGGTAGAATTAAGAATTAAAGCTTTCAAATGATGGACTGTGAAAAGCCTAATCATCCTATATTTCACCATGTGGAGCATAACTATATTGTGTTGTACGTCGTGGAACCTAAAATTTTTTACAAAGTATTTTAAGGGGCTGGTTTATGGGTGGTAGAGTGAGGCCCTATTATCTTCTTCATTGTAGTGAAAGTATGTAATGGGAAGAGTGGACTAACTCTCAAATTGAGGATGAGCCATTATAAAAAAAATTTCTGTGCGCTGTTCTAATTATATTACTTTCAATAGTAAAGATGGCTTAATCCATGACACCAAGACCTCAATTTCTATACTGATGTTTTGTGGCCTTATTTTCTACTTCCTATTTTTCGATTTGTCTTCTTATGTTCCTTCTGTTTTTTGCCTGCATGTAGCTAAAAATCGGAAAGATGAATCTAATGATCCAAATGTACGTTTACAAGAAAGAGATGCTGTTGTCAAAACTGAGCAGGAACGTGTTTCAGGAGAGAAGGAAGAGACTGGCTCTAATCAAGATTTAACTCCTCCCTTGAGTGGAGAATCCTCTCCAGAAAAAGACAACTTGGGAGATCACGGTGGACGTGACAAGAGCTTCTCTGATAATATTTCTAGTCAACCTGAGGTTAACTGTTTTGAGAGAAAAGATTCATCTGCTGAGGCAAGAAAATCTTTGAAGCAGGATGAAGATGAATTTCCTTTGGAGCAAAATACCAGCGGATTAGATTCCAGGTTTTTGCAGGATTACAATAGGGAATGGAGTAGAGGCAGAAACTTATCTGATGAATCTCCTAGATCAAGCGAGTTTAATTGTCATATGGTTGATGGATTGACCCAAGAAGTTAGAAAATGTATTGAATGGAATGACATGATTCCTTTGGACAAATGCCACGGAAGGCATCCTATGGAAGTTGGAGAAAATACCGAAGGGATCAAAGGTCAAGATCTTGTACCAGAAAATGATGTAAAGGGTTGGAACATTTCAAAAAGCCTAAATACTTCATCACATTCAGCTGGACGAACTTCTGAAGTCAATGAGAATACCAAGATTCATCCAACCTTTAGAAGCTTGAGCAAAGAAATCGGTTTGAACACGCGTACTGGAGATTTATCTGTAGCTGCTGAAAGCCCCTTGAATGATAGCATTGTGTCAGTCAATTTCATCACTTCAGATGGTGAACGCGTGGAGCATTCCTGTAGTCCTCAAAATTTTGGCAGAGCAAGCTCGGTAGATACTTTGGGAAGTTCGCCTCTTGTTGATCCTATTACTGATCTCAGCGACAAACATGAGGATATGTATAAATCTCCGACGATCAGAAGTTACTATGCTTATGATGGTAGTGTATCATCTTATGATGGAACTGATGATCAAATTCCCAACCATATTTTACAACCATCCAGAAGAAAGTTCGAGTTGCCTGAAACGAAAAGATATGATCACACCAGTGGAAACAGGACAAGATTTGATGAAGAAGGTATTTCTCGATCACCATTCAGTCCCGGTAATTTCATTGAAAGTCATGGAAATGGAAAAGGAAAACCTTCTAGTTATCAGCACAATCTTTTTGAGCACCATCCAAGCTTTTATTCACCAGACGAGCCTTCTAACTCTGAACCAGATAAAATGGACTTGTTGAGAATGGTCTGTGAACTCAAAGATCAGCTCAACCGGATGCGTTTTACAAATGATATGACAAACGGAGGGTTTCCGTCTATCATGGATGAAAAGTATACTCCGTTGTATGATGACCATTTAGTACCAGAAAGGGAGATGCATGCAGATTTGAACCATCCTAGGTACCATATGAGGCACAGTCAAGTACAATGTTGGCCCGGTCATTGTAGGGCCTCGAGAGTGCCATATTCCATGGACGCTACAAACTACAGTTGCCAAGTCAACTGCTCTTGTGTGCATTGTTTTCCCCAAGACTGGCACTGCTCACCACAGTTCCCTTCAAATTCCATGTGCTGTGACAGCGTTCATTCCCATGCCTCGAGTTCCTCGACTCCCCCACATTACATGAGCTCTGAGGTTTCCTTATTGGACGACGAGATGAAAAAGTCATATTCGAGAGAGAAATATCAGGCAGCGAAGAGACATATCCGGCCTATAGCTGGTGGAGCCCCACTTGTCGCTTGTTATCATTGCTCGGAATTGTTGCAGCTACCAGCAGACTTTCTCCTATTCAAGAAAAAATATCATCGACTGAGATGCAATGCTTGTAGGGAAGTTCTGAAATTCTCACTTCTGGAAGGAACGACTATAGTTCAATATGTTCCTGATGTTTTTGCCCCTCCACCAAGCGAGGCCGACAACTAAAATGACACCACCGGTAAGAGAAATCTCAAACCATTCTCCCGTTCTAATCCTTGACCAAATGCTAAACACATTCAATATTCTGATGATTATGACCTGTCCTGTAGAACTGCTGAAGGAGAGGCTTCACGGATGAGATCTTCATTTGGCCGGCTTCAGATGAATGCATCCAGTAACAAGATAGAATCTGTTAATGAGTCGATGGGAGATAGAAAAATGAAGTCTATAATGAAGGAGTCTCAGAACTTGAACAAGAGTTTAGTGAAAACCTATGAATCAGCCGTAACTTCATCAAAGATGTCCAAGTGGAAGAAAGCATCTACACAGCTTGAAGGTTCTCTACTTCATCAGCTTACGGGATATTCTTCCTTAAGTAAGGTCTGTTTAAATCCATGCAGTAACAGAATAAGCTTGATTGTTCCCATCTCTTGGAAGAGGAAAAGTTCTCATCCCTTTTTTTCTTTTCCATCTCTCCATTGGACATGTTTTGCACAGACGAGTACGACTAAGTTGAGCCATCTCTTACAAGAATATGTAGTTGTCTGCATTTATTTACTTATTTGAGACAGAAATATGGTTTTGATGTAATGAAATACAAGGTCTTTTTGTTAATTATGGCTCCACCATCCTTTACAGTTTGCTTGTGTTGAAATTATCGTCACTTGTTGCATTGCCTTGTATATAACAACAGCACAATAAAAATTCGAAGAATATTTGCAAAATCCAATAGAGAATTATTAATTAAGATTTTCATCTGTATCATGTACAATAAACATTTCTTTAACATATTCAAATGGGTTTTATAAGGTAGCAAATTTTCAATTATATTATAATATATGGAAAGGACACATCAAACTCACTGGTTGAGACGATTGAAATAATCTGATCCCGCAGCATGTTCAAATTGGGAGCTAACAATCGTGTGTATTGGTCAAAATAAAGAAGCTGTTTCACGAGAAGACCAAACTCCCGATGGAATCTCAGCCCATATGATTCACTGACTCAAACCTGTTAAACTCACAAAAACACATGGATCAGAATGAGAACCTGTTAAAGCACAATAAAGCAGCTTTATTATGATGCACAATGTGGGAGAGCACAGCACAATGGCTGGGGGTCAAATGCACACTAAAAATCAAAACGTAAGAGTTAACCACATCAAGGAATAGTGCATTCATTAATCTTTCATCAACCACAACATTGGCAGAAACTGCAGTTGCATTTGTGTTTGTTCCCCTGGCTGTAGCAAAAATGATATCTCTATCCAAATCCTGTGCAAAAAAAAAATCAGATAGCGTGTCTTAAAATATAGTAAGAGTAAAGCAGTGTACTTAAGTGCAGCCATCTACTTAATAAAGCAATTAGGCAGTTCAATCGCCAAAGAGGTCAAATCCTATCCTCTTGAAGCCACAGTCTTGTGTATCAAAAGATGCTAAACTAGATATCTGGTGTTCACCTGCACAATCCAAATTAATGATTTACATTATCTTAGTTAGCTCCAAAGGCAAGCGCAATCTAGATAATTTCATCAGTTTTACAATTGTGATTGACAACAACAAAAAACCAGGTCTTCATCCAAATAAATTTGGGATTGGTTACATGAATCTGTTTCCACCACTCCATTCCTCTCATTGCTAGACCTATTGGATTTTTGTTGACAAGAAATTGTGATTGACAAGAAATATCAAAGAATTTTTCAAGTTTTTGGCGTCCTCAAGCATAATTCTTGCAAGGGAATCCTTGTTACTCCAGTTTTTGACTTAAATCTTTGAATTAACTATTAATTACTTACATGAAAGGAAAACTAAATCAAATATAAGTGTTGTGTCTAAGACTTTCACCAGAGACCAAAAAACTGCTGTTGCAACTTGAACAATTTCAAGAACGTTTAGACCGAACAATACTTAAAGGTGTATAATGCGGAATTAAAAAATCAACCAATAAAAAGCAACAAGTCACTTATTTAATGTTTCTAGGTAATTAAGTTTAATGTTAAATTAAACCCTAAGTGTCAATCATGCAATATAGATCAAAAGCAATAAAAGTAAAGAACAAAAATTTGGAAACAAAGGAAAACCCTTGAAGAACTCTTTACCGGGATTAAAAAAACCTTCGGGCAACCTTGCTAAAACGATTTTCTAGAAAAGATAACTTACACTTAGTTTAGACACAATTAAAATTTAGTAGACTCTGACCACCAAACCTGTAAATCATTGAAGAACCTCTTCGATTGTGCAATCTACACTTTCCAGCAACTCTGAACTTCTTTTCCTCTGTGTGGATCAACAAGAACGAACTCGTGCTGGAATAACTGGAACTCCAACTGCTTTTCCCAACTTAAGAACTATGAAAACTTATTAATGAAGGTAATGATTTTTGGTGTTTGATCATTGGATCTTTTTTGTTTTGATCTTTGGTTGAGCAAGAGAATAATGGAATCAATGTTTCATCTTTAATAGGACGTTCTCTTCAATGAAAATAGGCTTAACACACTTTTGGGACGGACCAATGCTTTGGTATTTATAATATGAAGTGTTTGAAGTTAAATACAATTGTAAAATACGCTGAAAATCATGAAAAGATTTCTGTTGGATGATACCACCGCTTGAGCAGTGGACTCATGGGTAGCGAGGGATCCATCCACTGCTCGAATGCCCAAGGCACGGTTGGCGAGCGGTGCCTTCGCTGCTTTTTTCGCTCGAGCATTTCTCACGCAGCCAGCCTCTTCGATTGTGCAACCTGCACTTTCTGGGAACTCCGAACTTCCTTTTCCTCCACGTAGATCACAAAGAACGAACTCTTTCTGGAATAATTGGAACTCCAGCTACTTTTTCTAACTTCAGAACTATGAATGCTTATTGGTGAAGGTAATGGCTTTTAGTGTTTGATCTTTGGATATTTTGTGTTTTAATCTTTGGTTGAGCAACAGAGCAAGAGAATAATGGAATCAATGTTTGATCTTCAATATGATGTTCTCTCCAATGAAAATAGGCTGAACACACTTTTGGGACGAACCAATACTTTGATATTTATAATATGAAGTGTTTAAAGTTGAATAGAACTGAAATAAGCTGAAAATCGTGAACAGATTTTTGCTGGATGATACCACCGCTCGAGCAGTAGACTCGTGGGTAGCGATCGATCCATCCACCGCTCGAGAATCCGAGGCACAGTTGGCGAGCAGTGCCTTTCCTGCTTTTTTCGCTCGAGCGTTCGTCATGCGGCAGCCTCTTTGATTGTGCAACCTACACTTGGAACAACTTCGGCTCTCTCTTCCCAACTTTAGAATTATAAAGGCTCATTGGTGAAGGTAAGTGAACAACTTTAGAACTTCAGGTGGACTCAATTTTTAACAGTTCTAACTACAATGTGTAGACTGAATCTGTGTTCTAAAGTTTTAATTACTTGCGGAAGATAACATGTTAAAACTTGAACACCATATGTAACGTAGTAGATCTCAAAAGTAAATTTTTTTTGTACTGTACTTAATTTTTTTTTTTTTTTACTTTTTAACCACATAATTACAAAAAATTCACTATTCCAGAACTCATTTTTTTCCCAAAAAAAAAATCATTTTAATGTTTGTAAACAGAGGCTAAATAACGAAATATAGATCAATTTATTATACCCTAAATTGTTTTTAAGTCTATTAAATTCAAACGAGCAATTTGAAATTTTCATATTGATTAAATACTAAAATATGGATTAAATATAAGAGTTCAAGTTATTTTTCTTAAAAATGTTGACATTTTAAAGTAAAAATTCTAAATCTTAATATAGTTGTCCAAAAACCCAAATAACTATATTAAAATTAGAATGCTTTGAAATGGCTTAGTTGTCCTTGCAATTTATTGAGAAGATTTTTGGCTACAAATGATTTATTTTTAAAATTTCTAATTTTAATTTTATCTTGATCGCGTTTGGTTAAGTTTAAAATTGTTTGTTTATTAGTTTTGAAAGAAACAATTTTTCAATTGATCAAATTAGAATTTACTTATTTTGATGTAATAGTTATTGCATAATCGTTGTACAATAGAACATAGAACACCTGAAAGAACAATATTTTGAGAGCATGTTCCTTGTGCATTATCTGATAGAATTCAATGACAATAGTAGATAAAAAATTTCTTTTTAAATATTATTCAGTAACATACGATTCACCATTGCACATCAATATTAAAATTGAAATCAAAATCAAAATCAGTTCGAAGAAAAAAAATACCAAACTAAAAGCTCTTTTTGACTTTTCAAAAGTCAAGCCAAACGGGCCATAAAACATGTAAACAAAGAAAACAATTACTTTTAAACAGCCAGACATGCTTCTCTCTTTAGCAATGTCAAGGGGGCAGGACGACTCCACTCCTCTTGCCAGAAGCTCCCCTACACATCTTAGAGAATAAATCAGAGCAAAACACCCCAATAAATCATCTGGCAACATCAAAATCTTGTGTGCTACAAGCACATCTTTACTTAAATGGATATAAATAGAAGAATACATTTCTACAATGCATAAGCGTATACGACTGTGATGATACAAGATTTAAGAATTGTCTGAATCCGATTCAGAATCAGTATCCAACTGCGTCTGAAGAGGATTTAATCTGTTTGTATTGGCTTCCAATGGTGGGAGTCCATCATCATCAGTCGAACTTTCTGAATCATCTTTTTCGGCTGTATGTGATTGCGAATCTTGCTCTGAGTTAGCTAGGGGTGTGGATTTGAACGTTTCTGGCCTGCATCAATAGCCATCTACAATAATAAGTAACAGTCAAGATCCATTCTTTTCTTTTCTTTTCTTTTCGACACAATTTAGCATAGTTATTCATGTGCAGCTGATGCAATGACATCTTGAACGACTTTAAAATAAGAACAGAACAATTTGCAACCTTCATTTACAAACTGACACGCACTCAATTTAGCAACAACTAAACTGGTTCCTTTTTCTATCCCAAGAAAACGTGAAGTGCAAACCTCTTGTTACACCACCACCAATTGCACCAGGGGCATAGTGTAATTATTAATCAAAGTTTGAAATACGTCATTTATTTTGGATATCTACTTTTTTTAACTCAAATGTAAGAAAAAGTAATCAATTCAAACATTGGAAAACAAATTTAAGTTATTTTTGAGATCAGCAAAACATGCTATATCAGGAATACTAGAAGATATAAGTTACATGATGGTTCTTTACAAGCAGTAAAGAAAAGCAGCTAAAGGTCAAATGCAGAAAATGGGCCAAATGGAATCTAGTGTGTACAAAATCTCCACCATGGACAACAAAAAGGATTTTTCATAATCAACACACATGGACCATCCTTATTAAGCTATTTTTCATATAGAAAGGCAGAAACACAGTGGAGAAGTAATAATGAAGATTTTAGAATAAGTTTATACCAGTTTGGAGATTTTTGAAGCAGACGAACTTGTTCATGGTAGAGTACTTGCGTAATGATGCACCCAATTTTTCTGCCAGACTCAGCTGCCTCTTCTCTCCCACTTTCATCAGCCACAACAAAGTTCCCTATCATAGAAACCAAAGGAGTCATCATCCGTGTTAAATTCAGGAAAATAATTTCAAATAAAATACCAATGGCCATCTATATATCAAGAAAAATCCATTAGAAGAAACATAAATGCGAGCCTCGACTAGATAGTGGCAGCATAAATTTCAATCCATTTACCATTGAAACATACCTCGTTTAATCCACATGCTTTTCTGAAATTTTGCTGGAAAAATTGCTAGTAATTTTTGGCCTTTTGCATCCATCACCTTCACACTCAGATTGTAAGTTTTGCATATCCTCTAATTTGAAATGCATATCCTCTAATTTGAAAATAACAGTCACATAGAAAGAGTAAGTATACCTCAGTAAGATTGGAGCCCCTGAGATCTACAACTTGCATTATGCTTTGGCCTTGCTGAAGAGTCACTGTCTCTTCCTCAACTGCCCTCTTGAGATTCTTCCGCCCTCCTCTCATTTCGTTAAGTTCTTTTTCTTCTGCAACATGAAACAGTTCAAAAGATTAAAGTGGAAAAGGGGCGGATAACTGCGTAATATCAAAAAATTCTACACAAATTTAAGCATAGATTTCATGACCTTCCGTGCCAATTCCTACATGAAGCATTGCCATTAGTTATAGGTGACATTTCATACACAGGTATGAATCGGCATCCCCTAGTCCATTCCCCATTCCATGTTATGTATAGTTCAGTCCCGAGTAGTTTGCCAATTTCTAACAACTAAATATATCCTTTTTTTTTTCCTTATTTATCCACGTTAATCTTATTTCTTTTTATCATATCCAATGGAGCCAGTTTTTAAGGCAAGGAGAAAACCATGAACAAGCGCATCAAGAATTCAAGAGAAATATTGTCGAAAAATCACTGTTGCTAGAGGAAGATTACCATCAGGAAACAACAATTTTGAAAAAATAAATAAATTATGAGTTGAATTGAAATTGAATCATTCCCAACAATCCGATCGAGTGCGATTTAACATATAAAGCCCGTTTGTATACTAATAAAATCCGATACTACCTTCCAATTATGTTGATGAAGAAGTTGAGTAAATCACTGCAACACAAGATAACTTGTTGCGAAGAAGTGATGAATCCCTCGATTTTCAACGTAATGCCGATGAAGAAAACCTGTAGTCGCTTGTCCCCTTTCCTCTATGAATTGAACAAGGTTAGTTGGATATGCATGCCTTTCAATTGGGCTTCACAAGATTTTCCCCTCTC